ACGTATTAAATCTACTTTTTATGTGCACGTGCTTTTTACTTCGCAGTGGAAGCGTGCTGGGCCCATAACCTATTATATATTTTTAGCAAAAGTGAAACACACGGTCTGATGTATTTTTAACATGTTCTTTACTTCGCTTTATTAACTATACTAAAAATGAATAATGAATAATAATTACAAAAGGAATATAGAATAATGACAGCCCAGAGTTGCCAGGCAATTAATATTTAAAATGTACTTTACATAACAACAATTCCAATGTTTAGTAGAAATTTTACGATTTTATTGAACTTAATAAAAACATGTGTAATACGACAAAAAAAAAATTGACCTGTTTTAAATTATTCATAAGATGTTTATATATAATTTCAAACAAGAAATATTCTATAGAAAATCTAACATTTTTTTAATATATAACAACTCGGCTTCCCACAGGAACATTACTAACTTTGTACTCATAAATATATTAGACACACAAAAAACGTAAAAAAAATAAAAAGTTAACGAGTGAGAATTTAAACGCTTATTCTTTGGGAACTTACTTTAGTAAGTAAAAAAAAATACGATCCATTAACACTAAGGAACAGATTATACTGTCAATCTTAAGTGAAAATTAATTTGCAAATGATTCTAAAATATATTTACATTACCGGATAACATCTGATTGACAGAATACAACAAATTGTTTGTTTTAGCATTTAATAAAATAAGCCGGAATCTGTATCCTTAACGTTCCCCACAAATTACCTTTTTTCTCCTACATTCATTTTTACATTCATTTTAAATTCGAAGAAAATTGATAACAGTAGTAATAAATCAAAATCAATTAAATCGAACACGAAATAATAAGTTTAATATATAAATAACATAAAATGATAAATATAATCAGTAGAAACTGATAGTCCTGTTTTTTATAATATATCTCTCCGACAGTAACTAACTTTAATAAAGTTTACCAATTTTTTTTCAAACTAAATAAACTTGCGTTAAGTAGTTAGAGAAAAGGCTTTAATTCTTTATAAATTTTATTAATAAAAATAGTCAAATTTGAATGAAAAATCATAAATTAAAACCTAAATGGAAACCCCAAAGGGCAAGATATTTTCTTTCTTTGTGTTATTGTATATTTTTTATACGCGCTATTCGCTTTTAATCGTCACGCTACTATCTGTCATAAATCTTTGTAAAAATATTTATACAATATATTTTTATTTCTTAATACTTTACTTATCTAACACAAAAACTGAACTATACATAAACAAATCCAACAGATTGGAAGTCGATGAGACTTTCAGTAATGAAGATGATGAAGAGGGTTTTCCCGGATTTCAGTTTGAAAGCTATGATGATTTTGAACCCGCATGTTCGGATTCCGAAAATCCCATGCAGAAAGAAGTAAAGCTGACCGTGTAAGTTTTAAAATTTTTAACATTAAAATCACTCCAGCCATATATGTGTGCATAATTTCTCTCATAACGAATATAGCACCAGAACAAATGATTTTGATGCAATGCTTCAAAGAAAGGCTGCACATCGTATTGCTTTGAAAAATAAGTTAAAAAGTTTTGAGTTGACAAATGAGCAATATGCCAACTTAGTCGGTAGAATGTTTGATGCTGCTCAGGAAGATGTGGATCTATACAATAACAAGCAACCGGCTGTTAAGAAAGTTGCAATGCTCAAGGAAATTAATGCCATCTTCTCGCGCCCATTCCAAGAAATAATGTTAGACTACAATGTTTTGGGTGCGCTCACTGCTTGGATAACTCCTATATCTGAACATAACTTACCTTATTACCCGATACGGGAAGCTGTGCTCAACGCTCTACTTAAGGTATGTTGGTTTTCGCTTATAAAATCATTTTATTTAGACTATACTTTTTGAACACATTTCACATTTTTTTTCCAGACAGCGTTTTCGAGAAAGCTTTTCCGAGGCAGCTTTTTCTATTTATTGAAAATAGGTCCAATATACCTCGGATTGGATTTTTGTTAAGAAAACGAACGAATTTCTTTAGTGGAACTCCTTTATAGAACTAGTTTTTTAGTTGTAGCCTAAAATGGGACTGGAAAATTGGAACTCACTGCGTTTATCTAATTCAACTACGCCTAACATTTGAATTAGCTGTAGTTTTGTGTGGCTGCTCCGCACAAGTTTCCCAGATCAAATCTGTTGACTCGCAGTGCAGTTTCTGTTCCTTTATTGTTGATAAAAAAAGGAGTCACCGTTTGTCATAGTCCTGAGGCGTCTGGAAAAAGTTGATGCTTGTAATAGATTTCTGAAAAACCTTATAAATTATTACCTTAAGTGGCTATTATAACAGCTTTATGAATGCTTTGAATCCAATTCGACAATAAGCAATAAAAAGCTATAGAATTGTAACTCAAAAACTTATGATAAATTTGTATGGGTATATTTTTTATATATCTCACAGAAAACGTCTCTAAATTGAGCAGTTGCCTAAATCATTTCCTGACATAATTGCATACTGGGTATTTTTTTGTTGTATATTTTAATCAATAATATAAAATAAATACAACATTAACAATTTTTATATATATTAAAATATTTTTCGATACTGGCATATAACATATTGTAGAACACTACGATATTTAGTATAATCTTTACTACGGTTTTTATAGATAAAACTTAATTGCACCTTTTATCGTTAACAAGGTTTTATCGCTTTCATAATTTTAGACTCACGGGCATTTTTGTGTATCGTAAAATTGTCAGTATCGTCAATAATGCGGGGCCGTGCGTTTGTTTATATACTGTTTTTCGTTATTACAACGCTTTTTAAGCTAACAGGTACAGTTCGTAGCCGAATTGTAGGTGGCGAAATTGCTAAAGAAAGTGAAGCACCCTATCAAATTTCGCTACAGACTATACCAGGCTCACACTTATGCGGCGGTGCCATTATCGGTAAACAATGGATACTGACAGTAGCACAGTGTGTCAGCGGCTGGCCGGCTAATTACTTACGTGTCGGTATGGGCAGTAATAATTATACTGATCCACTTGTTATACACTATCCCGATCGTATTCTCACGCATTGCCGCTACGACACACCAAAGTATCATAATGATATTGCTTTATTGCATCTTAATACAAGCATTTCGTTTAATTCAAAAATACAAGCAATAGCACTACCACTACGGATGCCAAATACAACAATGGAATTACAACTCACCGGTTGGGGTAGTACAGTGCTATGGGGACCTACTCCTGAGTTGTTGCAGAAACTTTCTTTAAACTTCATCACTCGGAATGAATGTCTCACACGTTTAGAGCAGTTTGACGACGTTAGTGTGGATGTTTGCCATATCTGTGCCTTTTCACAGTCAGATAGATCTGCTTGTCATGGAGATGCCGGCAGTCCTTTAGTCAGTAATAACGGTGCAACTCTAGTGGGCTTATTAAATTGGCATTACTCCTGTGCGCAGGGGTTACCTGATATGTACACAAATGTACTATATTATCACGATTGGATACGTCAAGCGATTAGTGGTAA